CCCTCCATTGGTACCACGACAATGCCTTTCCTTCCAAACGTAGGTTAGCTGCTACCAATTTTTCCTCATACGTCAACTCATTGACGACGAAGTACCTTTCCACTTTATAGATCCATCCATAAGCATCCTCCCCTTCAAAAATTGGCATCTTTAGCTTCCTTACCTTCGAATCTACCCCGTTTCTTCGTATTCCTCCATAGTTTTCCTTTTCCCAAGTACTTTTCTCTCCCCATGTCTCCCGGCCTTCCCTTAGACATTCATCTTCAAACCCTTCTTCACTTTCTTCCCTCTTTTCTCCAAAATCAGCACCCCTCCTATAATTTTTCTCTTTTTTCTCCCAACCAACCCCCTTACTCCATGTTTCCTATTCCCATGTCTCTCTACATACCTTCCCCCCTTTCTCCTCAATGATTTCTCCATCGCTTTCATTTCTACGAAAATTAGAATTCGTAGTTCTTCTCAGCGGTCCCTTTGCCTTCGATGCCGCCGTTTGAATTTGATTGTCCAAGATCTTCTTCACCATCAGATGAATATCGAAGAATTTGTCTTCCACAGCATGGTTTAAAATTACGCAATATGAGGCTCGCCTTTGCGCAATTCTAGTAAAAAACGCCTTGATGCTTACACCTCGAGTTTTTGTTATGAGGCTTGCGCCTCAACTTGGTTGAGGCCCCTTGAGGCTTACGCCTCGCCTCACGAATGAAAAACGCCTCAATACCCGAATACGCAATTTTAAACATTGTTCCACAGATGAAACCTTGTCGACTACGAACGAGAGTCGATCTTCCATCGTGGTTTTTATCTAGCTCATTTCCCCTTCAAATCGTTCCTCCAACACATTAACTTTCTTGGCCACCATAAAAAATATAGATATTAGATTCAAATTTTAGCAAGATCCCTCCTGATCAGAAATTCGTCGCTGAATTTTTAGAAAAACCAGCCCACAATAGTCTAGGAATTGCTCTGATACAAGTTTAATAGGAAATACTTGAGTTCGCAAGTAAATCTAATGAGAAATACTTGAGTTCACAAGCAAACCTAACAATAATTGGTGAAAACAATGAAAAAACTTCAATATCTCCAATGAAAAGAATCCAAAAAATGATAGATTGTATTATATAAATCAAACCAAAAGCAAGAACAAGCAAAGATACAATTGATCCTCAATTCGAGAGGAGGATCGTTCTCTCCCAATCTCTAGATGATGAATCTAGAGCCCAAAACCACAAAGAGACTCCAAGAGAAATAATAAGCATGCATAACCCTAACCCTAAACAACCCATACTATTTAATCCCTTAATTCAAACTCCTAATTCAAAAATTTCCGCTTTTCTTATTTTTTATATTTTATATTTACTAAATCAAATAAGATATCACATTCGCTTGTATATGCATCAATACGATTATTGAAAGGCATGATTATTATATAATGAATTTTTTTTTTGAGAGGTAGTAATGATTATGGAAAATCTTTATGCCTACATGTGTTTGCAATTTCTAATGATGTGGAATAATAAGAATTTTGATTATGTATGGAAGATCTTTATGTGCATGCCTTATTGTAATTCTAGTTGATGAGATTTATTGAAATAGGTGAGAAGTTAGAATGATATAGAAAATATTTAGAATATAAAAGATTTAAGATTAATAAAATAAAGATTATTATATGATATCCAATGAACTATTATGAGAAGGAACTAGAGAACTAGAGAAATATAGAAGTAAATAGACACATTCTTTGTGAATTAGATTAGAGGTTAAAGAAATATTATGTGAGAGAACTAGCGAACTAGAAAAGTAAATAGTATAAAGAATAACCAACTTTCAGTATATGATATCCAATGAACTATTGCAAATCTTTCTCTTGATGAACCAAAATTGGAAGCAATGATATTCAATAATGATGATATTGAAGGTTAAAAACAAACCTCTGAAGTTAATCCTAATAGTTGAAGCTTGAATGTTTGATGTTGTAGTAAAAAATTATTTGATTATATTTTTGTGGTTGTATTAGACATTTTATACTAAACATTTTATATTATAAGCTAGACAAGTTATTATGCCATTCATTTATTATTGTTTGTCATTTTTAATATAATGTTACATAAATATCTATACACTATATAAAAATATATATATAATGCCATGTCCGCGTCGTACTCGTGTCCTATATTTTAAAAAACATCTGTGTCCGTGTCGCCATGTTCGTGCATCATAGGCCGTCAGCAGCCAAGGGAGTGCAAGAGGATGTTCAGTTGGATTATATGAAGGTTCAACTTTAAGCCCATATCTTTTTGCTTTAGTCCTAGATGTTCTTACTAGATATTTGCAAGAGGATGTACCATGGTGTATATTTTTGGCTTATGATATCCTTCTTGTTGATAAGACTAGAGATGGAGTTGAAGCTAAACTTGAATTATGGAGGTCAAGCTTAGAGTTTAAATTTTTTCTTCTGAGTATGTCTAAAACTTAATACATTGAGTGTAATTTTAATAGTAATAGATCTAGTGGGGAGATTGTGACTTTGGACGATCAAGTCATTAATAAGAGTACACACTTTAGATATCCCGGGTCTATTGTTTGGAGTGATGGTGAAATAGATGAGGATATTATTATTAGAATTCAAGTTAAATAGTTGAATTCGAGGAATGCATTGGGCCTGTTCTGTGATAGAAAAGTACCCCTTAAACTTAAGGGAAAATTCTATAATATGGTGGTGAGACCTGCAATGCTTTATGGTGTAGAATATTGGCCATTAAAAGAGAAACATAAGATTAAGTTGTTTTGCCAAGATAACGATGCTTAGGTGGATGAGTGGTTTTACTCTTTGAGGTAGAATGCAAAACGAGCATATATGCGAACATGTGGAGTAGCTCCAGCGGCATATAAGATTAGAGAGAGTTGCTTTAGATGGTTTGATCATATAAAACATCGGCCTTTCAGTGACACAGTTAGGAGAGTAGATGTATTAGTTGACTTATGTTAAGAACGGTAGAGGTAGGCTTAAAAAGACATGGTTAGAAAATATTAGAAACTATCTTTCTTTATTAGATTTAAATGAGAATTTGACTCTAAATATGACACAATGGAGAAAAAAGATTCATTTAGTCGACCCTATGTAGTGGGATAAAGGTTTGATGTTGTTGTGTTTGTTGTACCCTTACCTCTTTGGGAAGTTTTGCACAATGACATTATAAATGCTATGTTTTATATTAAACTTGGCCTATCATTGCTGTACTTTTATCTCTATTTAAGTGTCATTGCCATACCATCAACATATAATCCTAGAATAAGAAATCCTTTTTGTGGAAAAATTAAGAATACATTGATGAGTTCCCTGAAAAAATAATCTTTAATAATGAATTCTTTGTTAAACATATGTGATTCAATGGTAATACATATTTTATTAAAATATTGATGAATAGCATAATATTTTTATGATATATTCAAAACTTGATATATACCCTCTACAACCCCCACCATCACATTGAATACCAAACCAACTCTCGATCATCTTCCAAACAAGCCTTGACAAAGCCCCATTCTATCATCTTCCACTCTCCACAAGTAACTTCCCAAGAAACCCCATTCTTGGCCCCTACAACAAGCCTACAACAAGCCCTTCACCTCCAACCTTAACCATCGGCACTTCCTCATGAAATTTCACCACATCTCCACTCCATATATAACAAGGACCATTCTTCTCAATTATCTCCCACATCCAAGCTCCATCATAATGTCCCCCAAAATTGGTATGAACCTAGAAATCATAGTTTTTTAGATCTTCTACTTGTTTAGAACATGCTTATAATTTCCCAAATTTATTTATCTATTTTTTAATTTTTTCGTTCCTTTGAAGTATTAATTCATCATGCAAACCATCATGGTACGAGTGTATCTTTTATTTCGACCAAGTTGATATAGTCTCTATCTATCTATGCTAAGCTCTTCTCTTTGTTTTTTTTCCATGTTTATCCAATTATGGGATGCATTTTACTTTTCTAAGTTAGTTTTAATTTTACAAATTTTATTTTATGCTTGTCTGTAGAGATTCAAATTCAAAATGGTTATTCACATTCATAGGGCAATTGAATAAAAAATCTCTTCTAGTTCAATCTTATATGACTGCAAGTTCGATATGTGATTACTTCGAGCATAATACAAGTGTGACTACTTGAGGGGCTGTTTGGTTGGTTGTAAAGTGAATGCAGTGTAAAGTAAATGTAGTGTGAAGTAAAAGTAATGTAAAGTAAATACTTTGAGGCTATTTGATTGCCTGTAAAGTGAATGCAGGGGAACTATTTTTTTTATTTGGTTTGGTGTATGCAGAGTAAAGTAAAATTAGTGCATTTTGAATATTTAAAAGTTCCAACCAACATATCAAGATGAGCTGCGCACACAAAGGATTACACAAATAAACTAATTACACAAATGCATAATGAGGGCTATTGAATTGCAGGTAACGGTTATTCCACCATGCATTACTTGCAGGTAATGATTAAACAATATTTCACTTTCAGATCGAATAATGAAAAAAATGTGGAGAAGGAGAAGAAATGAAAAGAATTCACTAAAAAACTAAACAGAAAGCCTCATAGTTGAACAAGGTTAATCCAACGTTGGCAACTAGTAAGCCTCACGGTTGTATAAGTATAACATTGTTGGAATTCTTAAAATTTCCCATTTGATAAAAAGTTGAATTATGAAAGAAGAAATTGCTCATCTAACTAGAAATTTTTGTAGTAGTCAATGAATTTAGTACATGTCTTAAACATTTATTTTTAATCACATAACTAAAAACAAACTTCCACAACTTAGCTATAACAAATTGAATTTGAATGCAAAAAATAGAAGCATATGGTTAATTGAAGCCTTCACCACCTTCTACAGTTTTGAGAGCTTTTCAGAAACATTAGTACTTATGATAATTCTCAAATGAGCTCGTGATACCCTCACTATAATTTTTTTTTATTCAATATATTTCCATTATTTATTTTCAGACTGATCACATTCGAAGCCAAGGCAGGGATCTGATCCAGCCCCGAGTTGTTATGATTAGGAAGCAAATGGCGCCATTAAAATCTTGGGTATGTTTTTTATGTTTCTTCACTAGTCAAATTTCCATCTTGATGCTCATACATGACCATATTTTTTATTGAATTGATGGTTGTCTTACATATTTTTATCAAATATCTTCAAATATTATGTTTTGAAGAATAAAATACCTTTGCTTAGTTAAATGCTTTGTGATGAGAATCACAGGTTGAGAACATCTCAAAGAAATGGCATGTGGAAGAACAGGGAAAAGTTGAAGAAAAACCTTTAGTCAAAGAACTTTCAAAGGTATTTAGTTCTAGTTCATCGAACTGAATCATTAAATGAGGTGATGATTTATTGTTGTCTTATTTGTGTATTACCAATTTTCTTTTCTATGTTTTCTGTAAATATAATATCCTGATCTTGTTGTGACAAAGAAGCCTTATATCTTGCACCACTCATATAGCTTTGATATATATATGGAAATTGACTTTATGTGCCCACTCATATAGCTTTGTTATATATATATTTCTATATGGAAGTTGACTTTATCAGCCCCATTATTTCAAAAATTAAAACAAAAAAAAAAAGTCCAAAAATCAAAAATTTATTTTGGACAAAGTTATCATTATATATTTTTTTAAGGAAATATGTCCATAAATTTATTTTGGATGAAGATATCATTATGATATCTTTGTAATAAAGATATTGCTAGTTGAAGGATCTATTGGATGAAGTTCAACATCATACTAGATGTGGAATTTTAAGTTGTGATTATTTTAGTTTTCTTTTGCCAAAATTCTTCTTCTCTATCAAAAATAGTAAATTTCTTATAAATGGCACAAAGAATGTTGATAGTACACCCGTTAAAGGTTAAAAAGTACAAAAATTAGGATGGATCTACTTCGGAGTTTACTTTATGAGGTAGAGAGAAAAAAAATAGTCATACAAAGAACACAATAATTTTATTTGTTGGTCATATGATCACCTTCATCTTTTATAGGATAAGGTGAAGAGCTTTTTTATGTATATGAGAAGTAAATAAGGGTATTCTTTTAGATTTAGCTCATTTTGAAAATAAATATAGGAGATAAACTACTATAGTACGACGACAACAACAACAACATTAAGCCTTTATCCCACTACGTGGGGTTGGCTACAGTAATCCTTTTTCTTCATTGTGTCCTGTAAAAGATAAATTCTCATTTAAATCTAAAGTTTAAGAAGAAATGCATGAGATAGAAGAATTATAATAAATTTGTTAGCAAAAAAAAAAAAGGTGTGATTGTAGTTGGGTGACCCTTCTTGGTGTACTTTTGTTTTTATCCCTTTAACTTTATGCGTGTTGCTATTTATGGGTGTTAGCACATCTTGATGTTCTTCATAATTATGATAACCTTTGCAGAGTTTGAGGTGAGTTTTAACAATTTTTATAACCACAAGTAGATTTTGATGTTGAAAACTAGTTGAAGTTGATTAAACTTGAGCTATTTTAATTCTATTGGAAGAATATACATTGGCATTAAATGAGATATTAAGGAATGTTTAACATGACATTATTATCTCATATCTAAAATTTTTTTTTCATTTGCATCTCATTAACATTTTAACTGTTAGAATGTGTAACACCAAGATGTTTGGGTGATTTGAGGCTGTGAGGAATTGCATAATGGCGGAGTTCGGATCCTTCTTAGGAGAGCCATGAGTTGCCCAAGTCGATGCTGCTATTTGGTATGCTTCTTGAAGCCATTCTCAAATTGTATCTTGAGTTGACCGAATTTTTTTTTTTTTAATTATATGGTTATATGTCTGTCGCATATAGGACTAAGATTAAATATGTGACTAGACTAATTTTTGAGGATTTACACTAAGTCAACTCTCTTAAAATCATAAAACTCAAATTATAGAGACATCATAAATGGATCACGTACTTACGCACAAGATAATATATAACATTTTTTTAGTAAATTACATCATGTCCTAAATCTTTATTAGGGATTGGTGATAAGAGAAACTTTATGAGAAGGCATTTTCTCTTGCTTGGTGGTGACTTATGGTGCTGTATTTATTTATTTATTTATTTAAACAAAGGATGATTTTATCCCAACAATAAAAGAGGATACAACCAACCCAACCATAAAAAAGAAAGACAACTAAAAAATAGAAAAGACAAGGTAACCTGCCAGGCTCAGGAATTGGTAGTTTCCTACACCCACCCATACACTAAGCAAGTACCATCTAGAAGCAGTGGCCAGTAACAATCCACAAAGAAGCAACTGAACGAAGAAGCATCAACCAAATAAGACCATCAAACAGGACAAACTGAGTCACCACCAAAGGTTGCCAGCAAGCCTCACACTCCAAGTGGATAGCAAAATCTCGCCACATCATTGCCCATAAAAGAATGGTACATCCTCAAAAACCCAAACTCTAAGTAACCAACAAAGTGATACAAAACGACCCACAATGCAAAGAAGGCCCCCAACGAAACAAGAACAACCATAGTTACTTCTTTTTGGACTTAAGTTCTGTAAAGGGAGTGGTGAGGCAATGATTAGGGTTGGGTTTAAGTTCCTTTAATGGGTTGATCAAGAGATGGTGTTGTTGTGGAATTATTTTGGTTGGACTAAGGGATGAAGTGGGCTTAGATATTAGTAGATTGTGCAGTCAAGTGTGGAGTGAGATTTATTAGACTTGAGGCTGGGGAAATAATGGAAGATGCTTAGCAATTTCTTGGAGATGCCAAGCATGAGAGGTTTTGATTTTTAGGATGGTGTTGTGGGGATAGGGAGGAGGGTGGATGCCCTAGGTGAGTTACGTGGTGTTTATAGACAGTTAAGTGAGGTTCTAAACAACACGAATGTAACTTGAATTGATCAAAGATATATGTTCTAGATTAGCCACCCAACTTTATCAAGAAAATTTTTACATAAGAAAATGTTCAATGATCATTCAATAATTATTTAATAATATGTACATAAGATGCTTATATAAAGAATCAAGCAAAATACATAGATTGTTAAATAAAAATTTTGGCCAAACTATAAAAGAGGAGAGTGGCTCTATTGAGTTTGGACTATTAGTCTATTATAGTCATCATAACTATCGTGTGATAATGGTCCCATGATTGTCTTTTATCTCAATATTTTCAAGAGCTGGTGCAGTGCATGTGCTTATAAGAGCTTCATGTGTGAAAGTTTCTATACATGGGTGGGGAGTGAGCAAGAGCGGGGCACGCGTTATTTGCATTAAGTTTATGTACTTTTGTTTTTCCTTTCGCTCATCTTTCACCCTCAAATGAACCGCCCATAACAAATATTTATGTCTTATAAGCTCTAAGGGCCATGTTATTTGCATTCTCCTCTTGGATCCGGTAATGAGACAACAAATGAAACTAATTTAATATATTCTAACATTCTAAATAAGACAACAAATAGAACTATTTTAATTTAGGCTGGCTCCGCCACGAGGTGTGCGATGTTTGAGGGTTTATAGGGTGTGAGAGGTTGTGATTAGCATTAAGGGGAGGGTTCAAATTTAGATGATAAAATGATGAGATAAAAATAAAAACAACACAAAAGTAACTTGAGCTCAACCACGACCAAGGATCTTGATCAACCATCTAGCTTCACCATGGCAATTTGCACACAAGTAAACATTTAATAATCCTTGAATAATTTTTAATAATGAGAACATTAGGTATTCATATAAAGAATTAAGCATAATGCATCAATTGACAAATGAAAATTTTTGACAACCTATAAACAGAGAATTGCTCTAACTGCATTGAAATCTTACTATCTTTTAGTTTTCCCTAGGAGTTTTGGATGAAGATTTGGATTATTTTTTCTCTCATCTCGCTTGATTAAAAAAGTAATTTTCTTTAATTTTTATGATATTTTACACAGTTAGAATCAATTAGATCATTTGGCGACATTTTCAAATTTTTTTAAGCTCGTGGCCTTTTAATTTATTTTTATATTAGGGGTGTGAGTTATAAGATTTTTAAAAAAATTATTAAGTTTATAAGAAAACTAATTTTTTTTGTTCCCAACAATAACAACAACAACAACATCAAGCCTTTATCCCATTACGTGGGGTCGGCTACATGAATCCTTTTTTTTTCTCAATTGTGTCCTACTAAAAGTCAAATTCTCATTTAAATCTAATAAAGAAAGGTCATTCCTGATATTTTCTAACCAAGTCTTTTTAGGTCTGCATCTATCTTTCTTAACATAAGTCAAATCTAATACCTCTACTCTCCTAACTAGGTCATTGGAAGGCCGTCGTTTTATGTGACCAAACCATCTAAATTAACTCTCTCTAATTTTATCTTCTACTGGAGCTACTTCAACCTTTTCACGTATATGCTCATTTTGTATCCTATCTCTAAGGATAAAGTCACTTATCCACCTGAGCATCCTCATCTCTGCAATACTTAACTTAGTATTATACTTCTCTTTTAAAAATAAATGTTTTTGTTCCCAATAAAATAAATTTAATTTTTTACAAAAAATAAAATAAGATTGAGTTTTATTTTATAGTAGTAAAATTATTTATTATTATATATTTTATTCTAGAAACTTCTATCTGCCGGTCAACATAGGCCGGTCTCCACGCTGGCCATGTGGGTCAAATTTAATTTTATAGTAGTAATATTTTCTAACGAACAAAATGTAATATAGACATGTTATACTTCAAAAAAAATTATATATGGATGATATAAATCTTCACAAATAATAATCTCTAACACCTCATTTTAATTTCATCATATAAAAAATTCACAAATATTTTCTTATAAATATTCTTATGAAATGAAGCACGTTATGAAAGCAAAGAGATATAGTTGCCTAATAACTATCTTAGAATTAAATACCTTTCAATAAAATTTTATTTGGGATAAATTTTTTAATATTTTATAAAATAATTTTATCGTACAAAAATTTTTAATGCAAAAATTTTTTATACTAAAAAATTAGTAGAGATATACGCAACGCGTACCATCACAGTCGTCTCTTAGCTGTCCAACGCTGGTTGCTCATTTCCTTTGACATTTCCGATGATGCCTAACCTAACCTTCTCAGCTGAAAGATATTCAGAAAATTTGTTCACACGTATGCTCATCTATTTTTTTAAATCAAAATTAATTAAAAAATAATTTATTTATTAATAAATTCAAAAATAAATATATAGTTTATTATCCTGATACCCGCCGATGCTTAGCTCGGTTGGTGAGGGTGCTCAATTGGGAACCTCCCATTCCGAGTTCGATTCCCTCAAGCGGCAGTCGTCCCTTCATTGGGGAAAATTATTAGGTCCGGTCACCAGACCTAAAATAGGTCTGGATATCTAGTTAAAACTTGTCACGTTGTCTGCGCTTTAGGTACGCTTTGACTGCATTTTACCTACGCTTTGATTATACTTTTTTAACTACGCTTTAGCTGCTCTTTTGACGCGCTTAACTTAAAATAATATTTTATTAATATTCGGAAGGACGTAGTAATTTTCCCTTCAATGGAGGCCTCAAAGCGCCTGTTACGGGTACAGTAGTGTAGGTGGCCCGATAGGTCGGCCGGGATATATAGACCGCCAAACATGCTCCGCAAAGTCAGACACGACAGCGGAAGGTTCCTCGTCACCCAAAAAAAAAAAATTATCCTGATCTAATTATTTTCAAACCAATCTGGAAGCTTCGATCCTCTCTGACAAGTGATAACCAGACAACTTGCATTCACATGGTCATCACCGTTGGCCAACCTCTGCTTACTTTTTTGTTCTATATATATCTATCTTGTTATCAAAGTCTCTAATAATCTCTCTCTCTCTCTCTCTCTCTCTCTGATCCTACATAGCTCTAATCAATGGAAAGAAGCAGTTCTTTTGAGAACTCATGGGCCGATCAATGGGACTATGGCGACGATCCTGTATTACCAGCAGGAAAGATGAACAGCGTCGGCCATGGAGGCCGGAAGAACGGTGTGGAGAAGACGAAGGCCATGGCAGCCACAGGGCTGAAGAAGATGAAGCAAGGCACAACCTCTGGGTTCAATTGGATCAAGGATAAGTATCAAAAGAGAGCGCAGAAACAGTGATGTATTATATATTGTTGATTGTAATGATTTGCAATTACTGGTTTGTATATGTTTTTGTATAATACTTATTCTAATTCTCTGTAAAAGGTATTTTGGCTCCTTAGATTTTGATGGATAGCTCTCTTGGCTTATTTCTGGATAAATCGCTTGGCTTATTTAATTAATTTGTTTCACTGATAAGAAGACGAAGTTGTCTTCTCAACCCAATTAGGAATTTGGTGTTTAGTTAGAAAGAAACATGAAACTCTTATCTGATCGTTTCTTTAAATTGTTTAATTTTATCAAAGTATAGTGAATTATAATTATTCAAATCATGGGACATTTTCTAAACGAAAATTTGAATTGGAAACTTTTGGGACCATCTAATCTCTAATTTCAGCAAGCTTATAGTCAAATTGAACATCTCAAGGAGATGAATCCATCAACACCAAATTAAATTCGATCCAAGCTCAGAAAGAAACATGAAACTCTTATCTGATCGTTTCTTTAAATTGTTTAATTTTATCAAAGTATAGTGAATTATAATTATTCAAATCATGGGACATTTTCTAAACGAAAATTTGAATTGGAAACTTTTGGGACCATCTAATCTCTAATTTCAGCAAGTTTATAGTCAAATTGACTCAAGGAGACAAATCCAACAACACCAAATTAAATTCAATCCAAGCTCAAATGAGTCTAAATCAAAGGTTAAAGTTTATTTGTAAGCTTCAGAGCATTAATTAATATTGGACTATCAAATGATATCCGAATATGACATGTTTATAGTCAAATCGAGCGGCTCGACAAAATGAGTACAACGAGCCCAAAATCGCTCAATTATGATATCATTAATGCACTTGAATGCTCGATAAACTCTCCATAATTAAAGGAATC